TGTAAGTTATAAAGAGCTTGGAATCAAGCATGATGGAGAGAGAGACGTACAGGGGAAGATTATGCATGAGTAAGAGTGAAATTAGTATTTTAACTATGAAGAGGTATCAGTATGTTTGTCTTCCACACATACAGTTCTATGTCCTTCTGTATGTGTGTGAGGAGCGAAGTGTGACATTATTTTCAGTTTATTCCATACAGACAAACAATTAAACAAACAAATAAAATATGGGTGTAATTTTGAATATATGTTTTAAAAAATAGCACATAGATCGAGAGAGAAAGGAAAAATGGAGAAAATTAAGGTAATGGAAGGGAGTGATAGAACGAAGAGAAAGTTATAGAAAACAGGAGAGAAAAAAAGAAAGAAAAATATAAATAGAATAAAATTGAGGGACAGAAAATGTAACATTATGGCTTAAAATAGTCAATTATTTCAAATCCAGCACTTTTAAAATACTTATAACACCTATCCATAAGTCTGTCTTGTCTTTTCTGAAGATCTGTCCGTTCTCTTTGCAAATAAGATTGTCAGAGAAAATAAATGAAAAGGATAGTCTTGGTTAAAAACTAATAATTCAGAACAGTTACTGGAAAAAAAAATCTGCTTCTACAACACTTCACACCCACCACCTGTGTTATCACTTCTTTCTTTCTCTCTTTCTTTTTTGTGAAGAGATAATTCTTCAATATTAACAAGTTTCGATGGATTAAAATGATGTACATTAACCAAAATATCAGCGGATTTTATTTCCTATCCCCTTCAGATTTTAGTGAGTTTATCAGTTAGCTTTCATGACCGATCCTGTTTTCCCCATTCCTTGAATTGGCGGGAAAATCATCAATTTGAACTTTTTTTTTTCTTTCCAATACTATTAATATTGATACTGCTATCATTTTATTGATATTATGATGATTAAATTGTTGTCAAAATGTTAAGAACATCAAAGACAATAAAATAATGGAATTGAAGTTTCGAAAAAAAAGGAAAAGGGTAAAACAGATGAGATAAATAATAATAATAGTTAATAGTAGACATTGGGTTGAAAGGGTGGTATATATATATATCATATTTTCACCAGAGTACAAAATACATTTTTTCCAAACCTAACATTCCATACCAAGGAATAGAACATGGACATTAGTTTACATATGCGCACATTTTGTTTTAAACTCTTATATACATTTGCGAAAAAAAAATTCCAAGCATAATATGCATTATGAATGTGTGGATATTAACCAAAGGCAACTAATATATGTATATGTGTGTGTGTGTGTGTGTGTATTATGATTCTAAAATACCCTTTTTTTCCATTATAAACTAACTAATTAAAAATTGTAAGGCACATGATACCATAAGATCTCAGCACACGAACATAATCAGTTTCCTACCAGGTAAAGAGTTATTTGTTATGACTGGGATATAAACCATATCGACTAATCATTAAACAGAAGGGAAAGACACATCAAAAGCACAGGCCAGCTTACCTCTTAATTAGCAGAGAGTTGTGAGACTTACATTCCACAAAACAAAGTATTACCACGACGAATGCAATGCGTAACACAAATATTTTGTAAACGAATTTGGTGACGAGACAGCAGTTCAGTGAAATAGATAAGATAGCTTTTTTTATCTGATGCTTTATCAGATTTTCAAAAATTCGCTTGAGTTTTATTATTATCCTTAGCGTTATCATTTGTGTTTTCCATCATCATAATGAGATTTTTATTATAATTTTCTCACAAACTGCAACCTGCCATGGTATGTGTATTTGCAAATACTTATAAATACATTCACAAATATGGACACACACCAATTCATATTCATACGCACGGGTAATATATCCAGTCCAATCTTAAGATCAACAGATAAAAGATATTAGCCAGAAAGACTGATAAGAATATAGTGTGTGTGTGTGTGTGTGTGTGTGTGTGTGTGTGTGTGTGTGTGTGTGTGTGTGTGTGTGTGTGTGTGTGTGTGTGTGCGCGCGCGCGTGCGTGCGTGCGTGTTCGTGTGAGTACCCAAGCTTTCAAATAATGGTTAATGGTTACAAAGCAAAATAAATGCACTAAACTTTAAAAGTCCTATAGCACTACAGCAATAGTGGAATATTGAAAAGGGTAAGGAGGGGGGGGGGGGGTTAGTTGGTGTATAGCAGAGTCAGCTCGAGAGAGTAGCTCATGAGGCAGACAGGCAGACGGAGAGCTCTATGAAATCACCAGTTTAAAGTTTAAAGGTTTAGAAAGAAGAGACAGCATTTTAGAACAGTTGTTATCAAAACTATGTGTTGATATCAATAGTTGATTTTTTTAAATGTGATACCGAAGGCTAAGTCTTGACAGAAATAAATAAAAAATGAAAAAGTAATACAAATAAAAAATAAATACTACCACTAATAATAATAATAAAAAATTAAGTAAATAAACCCATAAACAACTATTGGCTCTTACCACTACCTTAAACATTTCTAAACATTCATCTCTAAGTAAAAATGTGTTCAGTTTTTTAGTTTAAATTACATGGTATTTGTGACGATCAGTAAAAGCATAAACAATGGTAATATATCCCTTCATATCCTCCATATAATTTATGGTATATATTCCTTTTTCTGTTGATTATGTATTAATGTGATAACGGATAGGTTAGTGATACTAATTATTTCACAAGTAATAGGTTGATTTTTTTTCCTATTTTTTTCTTTTTTTTAAGACAAGTTGCATTTATTCAAAGTCTTCAGCAACCTGTCAAATGGATCTTTGCCGCAATAAAAATATAATGAACATAATTCTCCATCACAAAATCACTAAACATTTTATTTCAAGTGTAAAGCAATAAAATTAGATAATTTTTTAAAAACCACTCCCACACATCAGTCAAAAAATACAGGTTTCAAAAATTACACACTAAAGAGATTTTCATATTTTTTTAATGAAGTATAAAAATGTACAAAAGTTTTATAGAAATATGAAGATCATTTATATCCACAAGTGTATAAAAATATTTAAAAAATGAAATATATGTATAATTTACCTACAGATCATGGATAGAGAGATCAGAAAACAGCAAAGAAAAAAATAATAATAATAAATAAATAAATAAAAAATAAAAAAATAAAAAAAAATAAAAAACAGAATGAAGGCAAATGCAGAAGAAAAATGTGAGGATAGAAACACACAAGAAAATATATATATAAGGGATTAGGCAATCTACATATGTACAATGAATGTGTTCCGACATCTATCTGCAAAACCTGAACATTATCCTGAAGATTAAAATAATACATTTTTTCCCCCTATAAATCAAACTCGTCCAAATGAGATGCACAGAATGATAGTAGGCAAAATAAATACTTCAAAATTCATCTGCAAACTAAATTCTCAAGACCTATCTATTTCTTCCTCTAGTTCTTCAGGAAAATGTTTAAGAGACCTAGTATTTCTTATCATTACCTCTTAGCTAATGTTTAACTAACCTATCAAAATAAAGACCAAATTAAAAACTGTAAAAAAGAAAGTCTGCTTCTTCTCTCCGCGTTTCCACCCTTTCCGCTAAACACACGCAACTTTGCATTCAAAGTTTTTAAACAGTTTCTCAGAATTAAAACAAAAGATAAAGAAAAGGGTGACCTCAATCATGTCGAACAATAATACAGAATAGTATCGTGACACACACAAGCTACTGTGTCTTGCATTCGTCGGATCTGGCGGCAGGCTGAGGCGGCTTCCCTCGTAGGCCGATGCTGGCGCGGGTCATGCGTCTCTCACTGGGTCTGATCGGGCTGTTTGTGCTCAGCGATTTAAGGGGGCCACCAACCTAGGGAGGAGAAATTCAACTATTAATACCTATCTTCAAATCCAATCTAGTTAAATATCTATTTCGTCAACTTTCATCAATTTTGAACTGAGAATATAATTTAATTTTTTTTTTATTCAATCAAGGGTTATGTTATACTGTATAACACCTAATATGTTACAGACCTGTGGCTTGTCATTAGAATCGTACTTCTTGACCAGAGTAGTCGACCTTCTCATCACACCTGGGCTCTCTGCACCGGAGGGAAGGTCATTCAGACCTAGGGGAAATTTTTTTTTAAAGGATTATGATTAAGCATGCAAAAAGAATAATTGTTTTTATCAAGGGATTATGACCATATAATTTCACTAAGTTAATAACAACTGTGAAACCTAGAAGTAATGAAAGAAATTTCCTTTAAACTAATATATCCCACACTCATGCAGTTTTGTTAATTCTTGCTGTATCACGTCCATCTATTCATTTAAATGTGGATGGAGCTGCATGATCATACTTTCAAATTTCCTAGATTTCTGGCTCATTATCTGACAACTAAGTAACTAAATGACTATTATCTTAAAGCATCTTCATCAGTGACATAACACACTTTTTTTTTTATTAGTCTTGACACAAACCATTTGACTTTCATTCTCATTCCATTTCACTATGCATCAACATCAAAGTATTCCTCTATTTGCTTCTTACCTTGTTTTACTTTTGAAGGGAGGCCTTCAATGCCGGACTCAGGAGACTCTGGGATGACAGTGGATTTGCGCTTGCGTTTCTCCTGGCTCGTGGAGGTCGATGCACAAACTCGCTTCATGGCACGTTTCATTTCATCGTCATTTGCAACCAAGGACTTCCTTCCCTGAGTCTGTGAGAGACCCGAGGGAGCTGCTTTTGCCTGAAGTACCTCTGGAAGTGCATTTTCATCAACCATCTGAACAAGTGAACGGCGGGTCCTCACTCCAGCCTGCTGCTGGCTCTTGTTAGCAGCAGGTATCTTCATGGTCGATGCCATGCGTGTCACTGCTCGCGATTTCACTTGGGGTACATCTGACAGTCTCGGTTCCTGGGTCTGTGAACTTCCTATGACTTCAGGACTCTCCAGTGCCTCAGTTCTTTGGGTGTTCTGCACGGGACTGGCCAGCTGAGGGGATGACTTGGCAGGCTTCAAAACAGACTTTGGGAGGTCTTGTGCCTTATCTTGGCTCTGTTCTGCTTTCATCTTTTTGATCTGTGCTTGCAGAAGCTTAACCTTAGATTTCATGTTGTCGTTTGCTTCTTCCAAGTCGTGCATTTTCTTCAGCACCTGAAAAAGTATTAAAAGTTTAGATATAAGCAGCAATGAAAGACGGCATTATAATGACAATTAAGCTGTTACAAACAATCTCCTTCTAGTATGTATATGCCCTATCCTTTGTGAATACTATTTTATATGATGGTAAGAAGCAATCACAAAGTTCTAAATGAAAGCACTCATCCATTCTTAATGACAGCCAAACTGACCTCAATCTGCTGGCCTGCCTGTTGTTCTGCTTCGCCATTCTTCTCATTAAAACGTTTCTGCCAGTGTTCTACCTCCTGCTTCGTCTCCTCCAAGTCTTTACGGCACTGCGTTGCATCTGCGTCTGTTTCTCTGACCTGTGTTAAAAAGCAATGAGCTCCATTAGCAAGGAATAAAAAGACTGCAGAAAATCTCTTCTAAAAATGTTTTCATGTCTTTCTGTATTCATTATCATATTCTAATTCTGATTTTTTTTTTGTTTTGTTTTCTTGTCTTTATGTTAAAGGACAAGAACAATGCAACAATTCCCCCCCCCCCCCCAAACATAAGCCAGGAATAATCAAGACTCTAATTAAATTAAATATCTCTGTTGTCACCTTTTCCTTCAGCTGCTGCACTTCCCCTTCCAGTTCCTCTACATGCTTCATACATTCCTTCAGTTCACTCTCCTTCTTCCTGCCAATGTTCTGGACGAGGGAGAACTTGGCGCGGAGTGAGTCAAGGTCTGTGCGGGATTCCTTGACCAGAGCCCCCAACTCTTCAATCTGAGGGTTAGGAAGAGACCAGACGAGATTACTAAAATGTTACAAATGTTACGATGATAAAGTGAAGCATGACATGTTCCTGTATGTGTAAGTGCAAATGCAAATACAGAAATACTTGAAATATTCAAGAGCTACGATAATAATAATCAATATCTGCAATATTAAATAATACTTACAAATGTCTTCATTAATTTACAAAGTATGAAACATTTCAGATATCGAGACTAAGGTCTGTCAAAACAAAATGACCAAAACATGTTTTTGAAAAAGAAACAGCATTGCACCCTGAACACACAATAATAATAATAATAAGAAGAAGAAGAACAAGAAGAAGAAGGTCTACCTTTGCTTCTTTTGCTGCCACAGCTTTCTCTAACTTCTCAACAGACACAGCTTTGTCCTTGAGCTGTGACACCTCTACCTGTAGGCCTGCTTTATCCACCATCAGGCTTGTTGTCTGTAAAGACCAGGAAGGAAATAAATACACTAAAATGGACTCTCAATCCATCCACAAACAGTATTACAAAATTATAGAAGCTGAAGATAATTCAACCACATCCTGAACTTCAAGTGCTCCCCAAACAAGGTGACTACGAAAGTCTGTACAAACCTCTGACAGCTTATTAGTGAGATTATCCTTGGCAACCTGGAGCTCCTCATTTGCACTATGCACTTCCTCTTGCAGTCTGGCAATCTCCTTGTTAAGTGAGGCAGCATCTTCCTCCTTCTTGCTCAAGTCTTGTTTCAGAATGTCTCCTGTCTCTTGCTGATCCTTCAACTGTTGCTTCAGTTCAGCCAGGTTGCTCTGCATCATTGCAATGGTCTCCTTCTGGGATGCAATATCTTGCTTGGATGCTGCAATCTCTACTTCCGCATCAGCAAGACGAGATGTTGCAGCCTCTAGTTCTGACATCGTATCAGTCTTCTCCCTTGACAAGCTTTCCTCACGAGACTGAAGCTTTTCATAATCTTGCTTCAGCTGTTCCTTCTCTTTCATGAGATGTTCCTTCCCTGTTGACCATTCCTCTTTCTCTGATCTCAGTAATTCTACATCTGTGCTCAACTTCTCCTTCTCTTTCTGTTGTTCTTCATTCTTGTTCCTCAGTTCCTCATTCTCCAATAACAGTGCTTCCTTGACTGATGTCACCTGTTTGAGCTCTACGGTAAGTTCTTCAATGTCCATGCTACTCTGTTCAGCTAAGGTAGCCAACTTTTGCTTTTCAATTACTACCTTTTCATTCTCTAACTTCAGACTCTCAACTTGTGACTGTTCCTGTTCCTTCTGTGAAACGAAGGAGTCAATTTGGCTCTGTAGGGTTTCCTTTTCCTCCTCAATTTCCTTACTCTTTTCTTCTAGCAATGCTCTGTCTGATAACATCTGCTCCTTCTCTTGCGACAGCTTTTCATTTTCTTGATGCAAACTGTCCTTCTCAGATGCCAAGTCGTCTTTTTCCTTCATAATAACTTCATATTTGGACTGAAGCTGCTCCTTTTCAGAAAGCACTTGCTCTTTTTCAAGAACAACAGAATCCTTCTCCGACTGCAGTTCTTCGTATTCCTTCAAGCACTTTTCTTTTTCTGCCACAGCTGTCTCCAGCTTTGCAACCAGCTCCTGCATTTTGCTGGCAAGTTCATCTCGCTCAGATGAAGCACCTTGTAGTTGTTCAGAAAGCTTGTTATTTTCTTCTTCCATTTTTTCAATTTGCTTGATATATTCCTGACACTCTATCTGATGCTGATTTACTGCATCATCCAAGTTCTTCATCGTGTCTGTCAAGGACTTCCTATCATTTTCGATTTCTTCTCTTTCTTTTTTGCTATCTTCATGTAGCTTTTTAAGCTCATCATATTTCTTTTCCAGCATTTCATTCTCATTCTGGAGTTTTTCATATTTTTCTCTTAGCTTCAGGAGTTCCTCTGCATCCTCTTGACTCTGGTTCCTCTCCTGCAAAGACCCCTTGAGTTCCTGGTTCTCCAAGAGCAGTGATTCATTCTGCAACACCAGTTCGGTGTTACGAGCAATCAACTCTTTGTTGCCAGAGACAGCTTCCTCCAGCCGCTGTGACAAGGTCATACCCTGAGTATCCAGGTCCTGTTTCTCCATCATTAGGTCATCTAGCTGCAGTAGCATTTCTTGCTCCTTCTTGGTCAGGGTCTCATTGTCCGAGGTGAGAACATCGTTGCGGCACACCAGCTCATTGATCTGGGTGCTTAGATCCTCGATAGTGCCAGCCAGTTCTTCGTTGCGGCTGATGAGGAGGTCGTTCTTGGTGGTCAGCTCATCATTCTTGGAGCTCAGTTCCTCGTTCAGGAAGGCTAGCTCTTCACTCTTTGTATGGCTGTTTTCAAGTTCCTGTAATCTGTTCTTATTGTCTGCTACCTCTTGAAGTTCTTTTTGCAGGGTGCTGTATTTTTCCTTCAGCTTATTATGCTCCTCTTGCAGTCTGTAGTACATGTTCAGTAAAGTATTAGAAAATAAAGCCTAAAACAAATTGACCCTCAGAGCATTATTATTCATTTTTCAGTTAAGAAAACCAATGAAATAATCTATTATAAAACTAACAGCCAAAAATACCCTCTGCTAATCTAGAAATTAAAATTTCATTATGTTATAAAACCTGAACAAGAACAGAAAACAAGAGACAGCTGCTTTAGTGCATACCTAGCAATCACTTCATTCAAAGAAGTAATGGTATCTGCTTGTGAGTCTGCGAATGTCTCAGCTGCTGAAGAAGTGCGCAGGTGCTCCAGTTCTTCTTTCATACGCTCCTTGCTATCACAGGCTGACTTCATTTCAGCTTCCAGCTGATTCACCTAGGGTTAATTATACATACACATAGGTATAAAGGGAATAAAATATGCATGACATCTTTTTATAATATTGTCCTTAAAAAGATTCAACATACTAAATAAATAATTAGAAGCTAACTTTCCTATACTCTTTTCTTTTAATTCAATGCAACCACCACTAAACAAATCACACATACCCCTACAGCTTCCTACACACTCCCTACTACTAATTTTCCCTCAGCCAAGTTTACCTTGTCTTCCAGTTCCTGAGCCATGTCCTGGTACAGTTTATTTTGCTCCTGACTCTTCCTGAGGTCAAACATCGCCTGCTTCAGCTGATCTTGTGACTCTTGCACTTCACACTTCAGGCCATTTAGCTCATCTTGAGAGACCTGAGGAGAGCAGCCAATTATCATCACATTCTTTAGAGGATATTTAGTGGACTCAATTACCATTCAGTCATAATTTACAGATGGAAATGCAGTACATACCGTGAGTTGTCCTCTGGCAAGGTTCAACTCCGTCTGCAGAGCAGCAATGTCTACCAGGGTGTTTTCTTTCCTAGGTGACTCACTGGTCAATGGTAGGTCTCTCTAATGTAGGAGAAAATAAGACTTGAGTTCAAAAAAATATAAAAACAAACAAGCTAAAAAAGAAACTGTGCATCCTGGATTATATATGCATACAGCTTGCTGTGTGAGCTACTCTTACCTGTAAACTTTTCAATTTAGCCATCTCTTGGCTCATGTGTGACAGCTCCTCTTCTTTGGCAGCAAGGCTACTCTGCAAGCAAGCAATCTGGTCTTTGAGGACAGCCACTTCATTCTCCCTCTCCTCTGCTTCCCTGTTGTCATCACTTGTTCTGTTGCATCTGAACTCCTCCAATTCTTCAGTTGTTATGTTGAGTTGCTCCTGGAGCTCTAGTATAGTCTGCTCAGCCTTCTTCAGCTCTTCCTCAGTTGTCTGGAGTTGCTCCTGAGAATGATCACTTGTTTTTACCTTCTCTTCACTGGCATCCTTCAGCTGTGCTTTCAGCTGCTGCTCCTTTATCCTCAGATTCTGCACCTGAGAGTGAAGTTTCTGGTTGCTGGCTTCCACAGAATTCAAACGTCTGATGAGGTCCGAGTTCTCCTTCTAAAAACAAGAGAGACAGGTTCTTTATCTGATATATCCTTTTTATAAATTCTAACATATAGTAAAATTCAAGTTAGAATGCATAAGAATAAATATCTTTACACACACAAACACAAACACACACACAATTTTATGATACTTTACCTTCACCAGTTCATCTGAGGTTGTATGATCTCGTTGCTGTTGCATCATGACAATCACATCCCTGTAATTCTCATAGTCACTCTGGATGGTTTCTGCTCTCTTTCTCTCCACTTCCCACTTGTTTGTCATCTGCAGTAAATAAAACACAATGTTTGCAACCTCTGAGGAGTCAACATGCAACACAAGCACCGCATACCTTTAGCTCCCAAAATTTCACAGCTCAAAAACTTGTACCTTTAGAATGCCTAAAATCACTCACTTGTCTCAGATTCTCTTCCAGATAAAGGACTTCCTTTGCCAGAGTGGCCTGAGAATCACACTGGCCCACAAGGTCTGCTTGAGTAGATGAAAGCAGTCCTTCCAATTCTGCTATCCGCTTGTCAAGGGCCTGGCGAATTTCCTGGACATGAGACTCTGCTTGCTTGGCGATTGCAGTCTGCCTGGCTGATTCTTGTTGTTCAGCAACCAGCTGCTCTTGCAGTTCATTCAAGCTAACATTGTTCTGAGAGGGTGGAAATGATGATGCTCATTACAATGGAAGAAATTCAGCACCCAACCACATTCATATCGTGTGTAAACTATTGGCAATGTTGCATAATATATGCAAGGCCGAGCATCTCAAATGTAAAGAACACAAACCTTAGTGCATTCCTGCTCTAGCTTCTGCACTTGTTCTCTCCAACTTTCACTCTCACTGCACTTTTCTTCATACATTACTTTGTCAACGTAGTTGTTCTTGGTGGTTTCCAGAGACCTCATTGCATTCTCTAGTAACTCTCGTTGTTCGGCACTCTGCAATGAGAGGGTCTGACGTTCCTCCAGCCTGTGAAGGGAGATTTAAATTTATTACTCTAGATGACTACTGCTTTTTGCCATTTTAGATTTAATATCCTGAAAAGAGGTTAGAACAGTGATAAGAAAATGCTTTCCCATAAACCATTAAATTTTAAGTTTCACCCTCATGAGACTAGAAAAGAAATATCAAACTTACGCTGCATCCAGTTTCTTGGCCAAGTTTTCCATGTCACTTTCCTTGGTTTGTATTTCACTCTTTAACTTTACAATTTCCTCATTCAGGTTCGCAATGGCTGCTTCAGCACAAGAGGCTTCCTTCTGCAACTTTTCCTCCAGCTGCTGTTGTGCTGCTTGAAGTTCCATGCACTCATGACTCTTGGCTTCCAGGGATGAATTAAGTTCCTGCTTGACAGATTCAACACTCTCTTGGCTCAGCTGCATGTTCTCCAACTGGTCCCTAGAAAGAAGGAAAAAGGAAGTGTTAGCATGCTTAAAACAAAATATTCCCAAATGACACACTGAATTTCAATATCCTACTAAATGACTAAATAAACAGTCTCTATGCAAACTCCTGTAAAACCATGCCACCAACTTCAGACTTACTTCAAGCTACTATTGGTAGAATTCATCAGCTCAATTTCCGCTGCCAGCAACGCCTTCTCCTCCGTGAGTGTGGACAGGGACGTCTGAAGGGTGTCCAGTTCTGACTTCCATTCCTCCTTCTGGACCTCCAACTGGGAGACAGCTTCCTTTAGGCAATTCATGGAGGTCTGCTGGGATTCCACCTCCTTCTCATAGGCTGCCTTAGCTTCCCTCAGTGCTGCTGCTTGCTCCTCAACCTCACGGAGGCTCTTTGCAACCTTTTCAACCTCTTGCACCTTTTCATTATATCTTGATCTCTCAGCATCCAAGAGGCTCTGATGCTCATGGAGGGAGGTGAGGGTGGCCTCCTTCTCTCTTGTGATCTCTTCAATGTTATTCTTCAGGGCCTCCATTTCGCTCAGTTTCTGCTCAAGTTCTTGGCTCAGTGAGGCAAGTTGGGATGAGGTGGCCTCACTTTCTTCCTTCATCTGGGACAGCTGGCTCTGCACAGCCTTGACCTTATATTCTGCCTCATCAACAGTATTCTCAAGGTCCATCTCCAACTGACTCATCTTCTGAGAGCTTAGAATTGATTCCTCTTCCAGCTTTTCTATACGAGCATTTGCCCCCTCTACTTTCTCAATGGCACTCTGCAGCTGCTCTTGCAATGCCTGATTCTCTGCCTGCTTTGTGTCAATTTCCTCTTCTTTGTTCTTCAGGGTCTCCATGATGGCCTCACACCTGCTCACAGCCTCCTTTGCCTTGTTCTCCAGCTCCTCCTTTGTTGCTTCCAAGTCCTTTACATGAACAGCGGTCTTCTGCATCTCCTCTTCCAATCTGTTAATGTTTTGGATTTGGTTCTCCAAAGTGCTACTGAGGCTTTGAAGTTCTTCAACCTTGCCCTGGAGAGTATCCTTTAGTTGTTGAATGTCTTCTTCTGCCTTATCCTTCTCCTTTGTCAATTCCTCTAGGTTGTTTATCAACTCCTGCTGCTGCTGTGACAGCTGCGCCTTCTCCTGCACCAAACTCTCCACTTTGGTCTCAAAGCCAACACTGAGCTGGGTGACCTGGGACTGAAGGATCTCTACAAGACCCTTCAGAGTGCTGCTGTGCTCCTCAGCCCGGGCCAGGGCCTCCTGGAGGCGCAACATCTCTTCTTCCTTCTCCTTTCGGAACGTCTCACTCTCCTCCTTCAGCTCACTCTTTTCCTCTTCTACCTTTTCAAGCTGATCCTTCAGGCTTGAAACTTCTTCATCTTTTCCTTCCAATGCCTGTCTATTTTCCTCAACAGTAGCTTGGAATTCTGCAATCTTCTCCTCATGAAGTTTCTCCATATCCTCTAGCTTGTTCTGCAGTTGATCCTTCCGTTCTGCTGTATTACAGAGCTCAGCCTGTAGTTCCAGCTGCTTTTCCTCCAAGGCCAGCACCTTTTCCTTCTGCCCCTCTGCTGCAGCTCCCGCCTCCTCAAGTTTCTTCAGCACTTCAGACCTCTCTTTCTCCTTGGCTTCCAGACGAGACGAGAGATCCTGAACCTCCTCCTTCTCCCTTTCCAGGGCCTCTTGCATTTCTTCAAGGGACTTTGTCACTACACCCAACTGCTCTGCCTGTTCCCTGCTTGCAGCTTCTGCTTCCAATGTGATTTTCTCCCTCTCAGCAGCTGCCTCCTCCAGGGACTTTTTGAGCTCCCTCACACTGCCCTCCAGACCCTCAATGATCTTTTCCTTGTCCTGTAATGTGGACGTCAGAGACTGGATTGTATCGTCCTTGCTCTTCACCAGATCATCGTGGTGTTTCTCCAGGGTGGTCTTCTCTTGCTGCAGACTCTCCATCTGCAATAGTTCATTTTTTTATCACAAGCTTTAGCACAAAATTATTAAGCATCAGTTTTCAAAGTTTTCTTCAAATGTATGTATGTATGTATGCATATATGTATGTGTGTGATATTGTGAATAAGGTACAAATATAAAGCAGAAGCAAAGTAAAAAAAAAAAAAAAAAAAAAATACAGAGAGAGGAGATACCCATTATAGAGTACCTGAACATTAAGAACATCAGCCTTCTGCTGTGCCTGTGCAGCCTCGTTCTTGAAGGAGTCTATGGTTCCTTCAATCTCCCAAGCAGACAACTCTGCCGCCAACTTCTCTCCTCGTGCCTTTTCCTCCTTCTCCTGGGCTTCCTTCCTGGCTTCCTCGGCTGCTTTCACCTTAGCCTCAGCCTCACTAACCTGGACAAGAAACGAGATAATCCTCAGTGCTGACAAAACTACCTTTTGAAAACTACAACATATTCAGATTGAATATCTTGATTACCTTCAAGTACTAAAATGACACCTTCAACACACCTGCTCCTTCATCTGATCCAGTTGCATTTGAGTTTCTTTCTCTTTCTGGGCAATGTTCTCAGCCGTTTCTTGTCTGCATTTGTTGACAGTTTCTCCTGCCTCTTCCTTTGCCTTATTCACGTCTTTTTCTGCTTCTGCTTTGGCTTTCTGCACCTGTTAGTTGGACATAAATTTTATATATAAATGTGATACAATAGGTACACACACATACACATCTATGAAGATACACACACACACATACACACATGCACAGACAAACAAGGTTTCTAACATAAACAGACCAACACATTCTATACAAAAAATATTCATTTCAGCATAACGATAAGACACCAAATATGAATTACAAGTTAGAAATCAAAGAAAAAAACGTACCATATTCTCTGCTTCTTCTTTAATTTTCTTGATCTCGGCTGCTGTCTCTGTCTTGGTAGTCTCTACCGTATTAGTCGCTTCCGATTTCAAAGCTTCCATCGCCGCATTTGTCTCGGCAACCTTCTTCTTCATCTCTTCAACCTCGGCCTCCATAGCGTTGATACCTGAAAGAACACATACATGTATACCGTCTTTCTTCCTCTGTGTGTAGGAACTCATGTTGACACAAGTTTAACAGAGATGCATTAACACCACGATTCACTATGACATACCTGCTAGCTTATTGTCGCAGGCTTCTTTTGTGGTCTTGATGGTAGCCTGAACTTCATCCCTCTCAGTCTTCAGCGTCCTGTTCAGTGCCTGCTGTTCGTTTACTTCCTGGGTCAGTCTGCTGATGTTGTTTTCAGCATCCTTTTTGGCCTATGGCAGAATTTTTTTTTAAATATGAATAAAATTGTTAACATATCTTAATTTGCATATACAGATATTCACATTCCAAACATTGTATCTGAACAACAAACTTATTTGATGCTATCTCTCTCCATCACTGACAACACTTATTAATATATTTGGATTATTTACTCTGCAACCAATGGAAGAAAAAATGTAGAAGACATATTTATCTTGTAAAACCAAAGAAAGTGAAAAGTAACAAGAAGTAAAAACACTTGAAAATGACCTGCAAAAACAACCCATACACATATTGTACCATAAAAATAATAATAATAATAATACAGAAAAAAATATATAATAATAATGAAAAAAATAATAAATATATAAAATCACAGTTCATCATAATAATGATGATGAGTCTACATTAAATTATCAAAGTCTGCTTCATTCCACTCATCATATCAAACACCTCATCTAATTAACTGCCAGTGAAAATGAAATAAAAAAATGAAGATGAAGAAGAGAGAGGAGGAACAGGAAGGAATGTCAGAACTAAAGAAGAGAAAGAGAGAAAGAAAGAAAGAAAGAAAAAGAGAGAGAGGAGAG